TGTGCAGTAAGGGGAGAGAAACAGCGCTGTATAGAGCTGCTTTCCACCTGCTGCAGGTGCCTGGGCCCTCAAATCCCAGATCAGATTCCCACTTTACCAATCATCATTACAAGCCTGTACTGCTGTATGATTCTCCCTGGTTCTGCTTGGCTTTGGCAGATACAGCCAGACTCCTGCATTGTAAGACACTGTACTGAACATATGTTGAGTACTCTATAGCTAATGTACCGTTCATGGGGGAAATTAAACTCACACTGAATGAGACATGCTTCTCTCAGTCTCACTCCTGATGGGCGGACTCTCACAAATACGGGATTAACCAGGCGAAACGGAGGAAATTTCATCAAAACCAGGTCAAACTGCCAGCTGGCACAAATCATCCAGGTGCTGCCCATCAGCAGGACACTGAGTGAAGGCTGGTGCAGTTGGACTGGGCTGTAGCCTCAGCTGAACCAGCAGGTGTTTGCTTGCTGCTAATGGCCCAGGACAGGAGAGAAGCGGCCTGTTCTCTTTGTGCAGGGTAACGCTTGAGCAGGCAGCGCAGTGGAAAAGCAGGCCTGCCAGTTGTCCTGTTGGCTGGCACAGCTGGGAGCTGAAACAACGTCAGTGTAGCTACACGACGCCACACAGTCACACTACCCACAGTACTTTGCACACACCTCTACACCCTTTCCTCCATTTCTCATCCAGGTCAGGTCTCAGTTACTTAATTCCCCTGATGCACTTCCTAGGCCCTGGGAAAACAGATTTGCGCTCCTAAAGGTCTCACACTCGGCATGTGTCCGACAGCTGTCACAATTGAAAAGTATTTTTATAAAGTTTCCTTTGAAAATTTTTTTACTTGATTAAAGGGCAGCCTTTAATCTTCATCAAGAGCCCAGGAGACCACAGAGACTGCATGCATGTGATTTGCTCTGTTCAGACTACAGATTTGTGGAAATGCTGGACTGTGAAGCGGTACAATATGGCGCACTGTCCTGTCGACAACTCCAAGGGCTGATGGGATTGCTTGCACCCACGGACAGGGCTTGACACACAGCTTCCTAGTGACCACTGCTGATGTCCATGAGGCCGAGCTCCCTGTAAATCCTGCTTGTGTTTGAACTCAATCTCATTGCTTCAGGGTGCACACTTCGCACAGTAGTGCTGTTTGAATAGGCTGAGGAACTCTATTATAAAGTGCCCCGTGCACACAAGTCACAGGCCCTGGCAGTGGAACAGACTGAACACACACTCACACTCTGCCTCCACAGGCCTCCCCCGGCATCACTGACCAGGACCACTGTCTCCGACACACACAGCCCCACAGCCCGCGGCCTGCAGGGAGACAGAGGCAGGCAGATGGCCAGCACAGGCCAGCTGGTGACCACCGTGCTTCTTTCCCTGGCCACCCGAAAAACTACAGCGCTGACTCCAACCCCCACTGCAGTGCACTGCATTATGGGCCAATCCATTTGTTTCATCTGTGTTTTGCTAAGGTCACGCCAAAAGGCTTGATCGCCGAACGAAATGAACAAATCTTCTGGCACCCTTTACCCTTGAATTCCCAGCCTCTGAACTGTTCCTGCTGACACCCTGTGTCGATTCACACAGATCCTGTAGACACGAGCTGGCCAGCAGGCAGCTCAGCAAGAGCTCCGAGGGATCAATAATTAAACAGATACAGACAAAGTATCTCCAATGTCACCTGGGAGCGAGTTCCCTCATCTTGGATACGCGAAAGATCAGCTCTGCTGGCCTCGGCTTTCAATCTCCCTGTGGGAATGGGCAGTTTTCCGAGGCTGGGGCAGGGCGATCCACCGCTAGCGACACAACCCGATCCGATGGAGCCAGGCTGTGAAGCGATTGGGAAATCAAAAGGAGAAGCACCTAATCTGGACCTTGAGCTGCCCCAGCTGTTTCTGGACAAGAGAGAGATGGACCGCCGGCTGAGGCCCTCTCTGTACTGGGGAGTCCGAGGATCCTGACGGACGCAGCGGTCAAGCGGATCAGGGCACGGAGGCAGGAGGAGGAGAGACGAAGCTCAGGCTCTCAGTTTAAACTGGGGGGGAGGGCACTGTAAGACCCACACTGCCGTGCCCTCTGCGCGGCGTGGTACCAGGCTCACAGGCTCTGGACAGGCCTGCACCTGACCCCAGTGAAGAAGCAGCCATCTGTCCGCACCGCACTAGGAACCCCAGTCACGGGGCGAGGGGCTGCTAGACCACTCCTGCCCGGGCCTTTCCCCCCGGCGCACTGCGTGGGCCGCAGGTCCACCAGAGCCGTGAGCAGAAGACTGCCTCAGGAATCAGGGCTGCTGCCTTCTCCGGGGGGAGCATTAGCTCTTAAAGGTGTGGGTGCATATCGGCTGCCCCTGTGTCAACACACTGGATCTCAGATGATCAGAGAGGTGTGCATGCTCTTATATAAACCAGTCCTTCTCCTTCAAGCCCCGGACAGATGAGTGGGAAGAGAGGTCCACACCCTTCACGTGCTGTTCTGTACAGTCAGTCGGGGTCCCCACGCTGTCAGGTCTACCTCTTAGGGCCATTCGGTGGTGATCCCACAGATAGAAGCTTCGTGCCGTGAGCTCCTCAGCCCAGCACAGAGGCCAGCGGTTCCTCTCACCCTCACTCAAGCAGTCACATCAGCACTGGGGTAAAACTACACTGAGGGTGAGGCTCAGCCCATTCTCCTTCATAGAGGAGCAAAAGTCCATTTTCCTGCCAAGTAAGAGCTCAGATCCCACAGATCCCTGGGCATTCCCACTTCAGGACGGACCCCCACGACAGTGTGCAACCCACCCGAAAGTAGCCTGCTGGGACATCTCCCCCTCTCCCCCTCGCCATCTGTCCTCTCTGACACTGCATGACTCACGCGCAGGGAGGGAGTGTGCGTTTGTGAGGGCGCAATGGAACTGATTGACGGCAATTCAGCTCATCGATAGGAGAAAACAAGAGAGAAACTGTGGGAGAAAGTGAGACAGATTACACTCTCCTGGGGGGTTTTATATCCTGAGTTTATTACCCTGCGTAGAAGTTGTGAGCTGCTGACTTCATTAAAAGACACACACCCACTTACTCGTGTGCGTACTGAAAACAAAACATGAGAAGTATGCGCACAAGATTGGAGGTGCACAGATGGCACTGCCTTTTCTGGAGCAGGAGTTCCATTGCCATCATGTTTATTTAGGTCTTTGGCCCTGGGTGTGGGCTCTGACTTGGGATCCTTCTGTGTGGAGTCTGCATGATCTCTCCGGGATTGTGTGTCTCTAAATCCTCCCTGTGTGTGTGAGCTGCAATGAATGGTGCACACACCCAGGTTTAGTCTCTCCCTGTACCCTATACCTCAGGGAAGGGCACTGGGCAGCTGTGTCACTTATCAGGAATAAGAGGCTTTCTCATGGATGGATGCAAATATATGTACATGTAGATACATATAACAGGAACGCGTTACATCTGTGACAGAATGAGAAATTTTGGAACTCTTTTGACAGCACTGCTTGCATTTCCATTCAGTGCTGATGGAAAAGGGGCCTGCGTCTGAAACACCTTGAGATCGAACAACTTGTGGTCATTAAACCTTGCGCACAACACAAACCCTTTTCTTCTGCGGTGTTTTAGTTCTGAAGCTGCGGGTCAACCCGCTCTTAAACCACAGAAAGCTGAGGAGATGTGAATCGTTGATTACAAAATCACCGCCCCAAACACAGCACTGTGCGAGGGAAGGCTGGTCCGCAGCGGAGAGAGGAATCGCTCTCCCTTTCTTTCGACAATGGAGTGAGTGATCAATACTGGCCATCAATAATGACCCTCGGTGGACTCACAATCCTGACCCTTGCCTTCCGACTTCCGAAAGCTGCGCTTTCCCAGTATCCCCCACCCCCCCAGAGAGGCGCACCGTTGGCGCGCACTGCGAAGGCACACGTAGGCTTAGAGACGCACACACATTCGGCGTACAGCTGTAGTGGCGTTACTCGCTTTTGCGAGCTCCACACACATAGACGCCGTTTTTCACAAACCTGTGCGGAGCTAGCGGGGGGGCGGAGGCGGGATTCTGACAGCCCCGCTCGAACAGCACCAGACACTGCAGAAAGCGGTCCTTGCACAGAGAGAGCACTGCACAGCGCCAGCACATGGAAAATGACTTTCTACAAAGATTGACCTCTCAATACTGACCTCAATATTTTTTTTTTTAAAGAAAGCACATTCTCCTTTAAAAAGTTCCTGCGCCTGTGGTTTTAGGTTCTGGAAGGTAACCGGATCCCCCTACGATCTAAACACAACATTGACACAGAAGGAAAAGAAAGCAGAGCGAAAACGACACGCAAGCCGCCTTCAAAGGCCGGGCAATTAAAAATATCTGCGCGGCGGCTCAGGCATCGCTCTCCAAACCAAAATTAAAGCTTCAGGCTCCAAGAGCGAGAAGACCGAGCCGCCAGCTCACAGAAGCGACACACACGCCTGCTACACTGCATATACACAACGCACACACTGCTCGTGTACACAACACACGCACTACTGTCTACTTTCTAATCTAGACAGTAGACATGTACGCTGCACTCATGCACACTGACTACACACACCCACTACTACACAATATGTACACAAACTATACACAGCCACATACGATGTATGTATACTACATAGTGTGCACACGTGTACGATCTCTACCCACTCGCTGCAAGCTTTCACACAAATACGCACTCTCTCCAGAAAACACAACTGGATATAAGCAATCACGGTAAAACACGTAAAACATATTTCCTCTAAATATAGCCTGCACAACGAAAACAGATGATCTGGATTCATACAGAGACAACAATTCGATTTTCAAAACTGACAAACAAAAAGTGTTTTTATTCAGGAACATCATCTGTTAAAATACTTTTCGTGGATATCGTTGGTTTAATTTAGCACACAATGGGGGCTTTGAAACCAGTTTTTAAAATGCCCATAAAGCAGCACCCGCAAGGGTTACGCTCCCAACAAGGGATTACAACCAAACAGCACATACTGTACCAGATCCATTCTGAAACAGGCAGCACCGTGTGTAACGGTCATCGCCCGTTCCCTCAGTCCAGCCCTGTGCTGCGCCCCCGATACAGGACTTCTTGCGCCGTAATTACTGTAATTATTCAGCTACAGTTCCCACGTTAACTTCGGAATAACTGAAAATAGCCTGTTTACTTCTCGAGTCACCCATAACAACTATAGCCTGTCGACAATATAACCTGTCTCATCACTCGTCGGCAACTGGGAATACGTGCACCTAAGAGTCCGTAGTTTATGTTTAAAAGATGAAACTGCAACATCTGCAAAGCGTTTCCCTTCATAGACGACTTCGTTAGTAACGTACTTCGCTAGCCTTGCGCAAGCCCTGTGTAAAATATCACGCCTTCCTCACTGTGCTGGGTAAACAGGATTTTACGGCGTTTTTAAGACAACCTGGGAAAGATTGAGAGAAACTCAATCGGAGCACTGTATCCCTCGGAGCGCTGCGTTTACCTCGAACGTGTCAGGGTGATTTGAGTTTGTTTTTTCCCCCCGAAAACAGCTGAGAAAACAGCAGTAAGCGAAATGCATACGTATATTACAATCGCTGTAGTGGCAGTTTGGAATAGTCCGAATACCGATTGGCTTTTGGAATAAGTGGTCAATAAAAAACCGCACCATTACCATAAATAGAACTGTAATAACTGTACTATTCAACGCTTTGTGAACACAATAAGAAAAGTCAAATCCCGCAAGAGGCTGAATTTTCCATTCGAGGCGGCTGAGGACTCTGCTGCTGTCCGTTATAAAGCAGATAGTTTGACTTACAGTGCGGGTCTCTCCTCTCTGCGCTCCGTATTCCGAGGCACTCCTGCGATATTGTCACAGCTGGCTCTTCTCGGTCTCCCCCGTGGCTCCGTGCGTCCAGGAAATAAATCAAATCGCTCTATTCGCGATGTCCGTTACCTCTGCGACCAGCGTTTTCCTTCCCCCCCGTCTCTGTTTTCAAAAGCCCTTCAGTTCAAAACATCTGATGCTGTCAGTTTGCATGGCAGGAACCACTTCTACACCTCCCTCCTTCACTCTCAGCCTCTGTAATTCGAGCCCAGGGCTGAACGAACGCTATTGTTCCCCTGCGCACCGCTCGCTACTCCGAAAACAAGCCCTTTCTCTCCCTTACTCTCTGATCACCGTGTCCAGCTCCAGACCCGCTTCTGAAGTTGGGGACAGCAGGCTGCGTGCTGTGACAGGGCAAGGAACCAGTGCGTTCACCCCGTCGAGGGTAATAATCGTGATTTTAAAGAGAACAGCTATAGCGCACCAGCATTGCAGAAACCCTGCTACAGTGGCAGGCGAGTCTATCAGTGTATCAGATGAACTGAGGTACTCACACCCCGCCCCCTCCCCCACTGGACACGCCCCCTGATGACGTCCCCAATAGGTCCACTCCCCCGACCCCTGTCCCGTCACACACTTATTCTCTTACCGGAAACTACACTGGCCCGGGGCTGAAGTGACTAACCCCCCACTTCCACACACGCAGTCGACAGTATCCGTCCGGATAGCCGTTTGACCATGGTTGGGAATATTTATAAAATGTATGGTTCCAGTGCAAAATGGGCTCCCACTTCATTTTTACTTTAAACTCCACCTACTTCTGTAAAACTTTTAAAGTTGGCCACAATAATAGCTACATATACGGTCACTCAGTATATATGCTCTGCTCATCTCTTATGATTGCTTTTGGGAGGGAAAAGGAAATAAATGTAGCTGGAAAGACAACCCCTTTTAAACTTTTCTGTTAAACAGTAATGTCAGGTCAATTGTTTAAGAGTAGAAATATTACAGAGGAAGCCATTGGATTTGCTGTGTTCCTTTGCTTCACTAGTACTGTAGGTATTGATCCAAGGATCTCAGCCAGCTGCCCGGATGTTGATTCAACAGTGCAGATGGGCATCTTGTTCCAGACTCCCAACAGCTGATAGATCAATGTCAGATATCCACAATTCCATTTCCGATCTCATGTGAAATCAATCGGGCATTTAACCAGTCATGGGAGCCATTGTGTATCTTTAAAAAAAATCTTTTGTTTCAAAGAAAGGATCACTGTTGTGGAGAATTCCCTGCAGGCTCTGATGGGAAAGACTTTACTCCTCCTCTGCAGCCAGGAGAGAGGGAGGAAGAGAGAGACCCCCTCAGCCAGCTGGTCCTGAAGCTCGCTGCCCTGAGCCACACCGACACCAACCAGACTCCGGACAGCACTGCTAAAGCACCACAAATCCCAGCCCAGGCAAACAACACTACCTCACCCACTGGGACACATTCACAACAAAAACTGCAATGCTGCCAGTCCTAAAAAGATAATAAACAGGGTGAAAGATAACAAGGAGAAAGAGACCTGGACACCCAGAGAGGACAGGCTCAGTGTCCACAGCCTGGCCATAGAAACTGGACACAGGCAGACCTGGATACCCAGAGAGGACAGGCTCAGTGACCACAGCCTGGCCATAGGAACTGGACACAGGCAGACCTGGATACCCAGAGAGGACAGGCTCAGTGACCACAGCCTGGCCATAGGAACTGGACACAGGCAGACCTGGATACCCAGAGAGGACAGGCTCAGTGTCCACAGCCTGGCCATTGGAACTGGACACTGTAACAAGCCGCATTGTTTGAGTGAGGAACCCTCTGCGGAGTAGGGGAGCCGAGTCAGGAGAGATTTCTGACGTATCCAAAACGTTAGGCAGAGATGTAGAATTCCAGGATCGATACCAAAAGTTCTTCAAATGTAGAAAGGCAGACAAATCTAAAGTGCTAGACAAGATCAAGGTCAAAAGGTAAGATCCGGGTTCGAGTACCCAAAAAGGCAAGAGGAAGTAAATAATGCAAGGCAAGGAGTTCCAAAGAAGCTAACAATACCGAGCAGTGTTCAGTGAAAAACAGAAGGCTTTTGTAAGTGGAGGAAGTGGAGGGTGTGTTAACTAGTGAGGTGCTCAGATTGGATGAAGGGATGGACCGGCGGTGTTTGCGGAGATTGCCTCTAGCCGGTGCTTGATTGGGATGAGACCGTTTGTGAGGAGTTTTCCGATTAGCGGTGGATATGACAGACAGAAGCAGACCTGCATACGCAGAGAGAACAGGCTGTGCTCCCACTTCCAACAGGGTAAAAAAGAAATAAAGATGCACTTTCTGCTAAAATACCTGAACTACTCCAGGGTTACAGAAACACTCTTCCCTTAAATAAGAAATACGATTCCAAAATTCGGATTCTGCCAGAATTAGAACAGCTCTCAACTGGCAGAGGGGAGAGAAATCATAATAGAGCTGCAGGCCATGTGATCTCCTGTCACAGCCTGAGGAACAGATCGGGAGCCTCTCAAATAATGATATTACACATTTCAAAGACTGTCACTTGCATGCAACTGACACACCAAGATCCGATATCTCAAAGATAAAAATGTATCTGAAGGAAAATGTAATCAACAGAATAAAGCTACTCTCATATACAGTATATTACTTCAGTTCAGTTCTCAATCTCTATCTCCAGTTCTCAGTCTTCAGTTCAGTTCATCTCAATAATTTGATTCACCTTTTAAGCCAAATTAATTTAAACGCAAACCTAAACAAAATATTAAAAGATCTACTCAGCCAAAATGTAAAGAAACGTGAATAAATGGTCAAAATCCCAAATATGTGAGGAAATAGTTTTGAAAAAATATTTGCTGAGATGTAGCTTTGTCATCAAGAATATTGATACTTCAGCATTTGTAAATGTTGCACTGATCTGTTTTTTTTAACCTAAAACTATCCTTTTAAAGGGATACCAAAATTGGAATGGGCATCTGGCACAGTTTACTGGCACACTTATTAACTCTTTTGAGTGCTTTTGGAAAATGATGATGAATCATTTTAATTTGCTTGTGCGAATCTGTTCTGCTGCACTCTGTTACCACTACACCACTGATCTCCACCACACTACAGGACCTCTAACATGCAGCTTCTGCTGCACAGACCTCTGGGGGTGACCTCTGTCCTCCACCAGATCAGATCAATCTGTTTCTCCCAGTGGGTGAATTACAGTCTCTTTGTCCAGACTAGGACAAGCATCAATTTGCATGGAGCTCTCTGCCTCTCTTTGTCAGTGTTACAGCCAACTGTTTCAGATGTCCCATTCCATTCTTAATAAATAACACTAACTGTCCATCTGTGCATCCTCAAAGAGCTACGGGACAAAAAATACAAGCAAAATGATTTATTTTTCATTCTCTGTAGTGGAAATATACATAGGTAAGATCAAGTTAAAGGCACAAAGAGGTTCTTGAGCTTAAGTATCAACAAATCAACTACTATTGAAGCTAAAGAAGATGAAAAAGGGAGAGAGAAGAGAGCAAGTGAGGGATTGAGTAAGAGAGAAGGGACAGGCTATTGAGCTTCAGTTTGGGGAAGGCGTAGCCTGGTCTACGTGAAAAGTGGGGCGCAGGTCTCCTTGAAATTGACATTGACCCCAACTCTCCCTGCATCTCCAAGCCAGGGTCACCAGGCCTCTGGAACCTGACAGTCTGAATCCAGGCCAAGGAGAGAGCCCAGGGTCTGGGTAAGAGGAGTAGAAGCAGTAGAAGCAAGCATATCTCAGGCAGTGACTGACTAACAGTTAGCAATCCCAGGGCAGAGACTCTTCTACCAGGACAGCTCACTTTATGGGACAGTGCAGAATTAACTGTTTCAAAGTATAAAAGAGCATTCATTTAAAATTAAATCTAGAGTTTGACCTTTCCACACCTGTGTTATCTTTTCCTAGTTTTGTCATTAAAACTACACAGTAGGTTTTCGGTAAATGGGAGACCAGGGTAGAGAGTATGGAATTATGGAATTCTCTGTCTTAGAGGCCGAAGCAAGGCGAGATACCAGGGTCAGCTGTTGTTGCTGAAGATACTAGTCCAGATGTTATCCCGATTATGGTCGAGGCTCTGCGAGCTGGATCAGTCAAGTGGGGGGCAGCTGGGTTAGTGCTCCCCCCTATAGTATTTCCACGTCTGGCCTGGTTTTGCAGTCTGAGCTCCTCTCTTCAGGCTGTTCTTGGTCATTCAGATACTGGAGCTGTAGGACACAGAGGCAGGCACACACAGAGAGACATAGAAGTTGCCTTGCAAAAGCATTCAGATCTTTGCACAGTTTTCACATTTTTTTGTTTTTAAGCTTGCGGTCATGACGCTTTGAATGAGGACTTCATATTTGTTATATACACAACCTACTCTGAATTCCAAATGAAAAAGAAGCAAATACATCATGAATATGGAACAAAAATGGAAAAGTCCTAATTGCATACGTATTCAAACCCCTTGCTGTGGCAAACCTACATTATGTTCAGTGCACAAAGTTACCTTAACGAGCAAAATAAGACATTGTGTGGCCTCTTTTGTTGTATGTGTGCAACAGTAGTGGTTCTCATGTTTTCAGAATAATAACACTTGTCTCAGTGATGTTCCTTGGTCAGGTAGAGAATTTCAAGCAAACACAAAGACTATCAAAGCAAGTCAGCAAGTTTCCTGAAAAAAAAGACAGGGTATCAGCTTCAACAGTGTGGCTGAGCATCTTGTTCCAAACATAAATTAGCATGTTAAGGCCAGTGGAACAATACAGTTTTCTTTCCGAAATTGTGAGATAAACACTTTTGCCTTTGGGACTCAAGTAGAAAATAAGTCTAAACCAAAAGTGGAAACTAAGTGGAAATGGTTTAAAGACTAAAAACAGGAGACGATTCTTTACACAAAGGGTTGTGGGAGTGTGGAACAAGCTGCCCAGCTTAGTTGTGGACGCTGATACTCTGGCACCTCACAAGAAATATCTGGATGAGATCCTCTAGTCAACTGACTACTAAGTGCTCAATGGGCTAGATGAGCCGAGCAGCTCCCTCTGGCATGTAACCTTTTTTATATTCTCATGTGCATCGGATTCTCTGACTCTATTAATCTACACAGATGCTAATTCAACACCACCGATTTGAGCCGAAGGAGAAGAAGGAACGAGCATTGCCAGTTTTGCAGTTTTGCAGACACCATTAGAAAATTGTGCCAAGGAAATTGGCACAGTGAATATGCAGTTGTAATGTTTTTACTTTTTTTTCTCAGTTCATATCATCCAGTAGTGCTGTAGCACTTTACCGTGACTGCGCTGTGCTTTTCTGCCCTTTACCCATGGAGGGTGGTTAAAAGCACGTTCAAGGGAGAGAAGGTGGAACTGCCAGGTGAGCGTGTTTGGTACACACATTTTAATTACAGTGTAGATTGCACTTACGACAGCACAGTTGAGAGATAGGCCCCCTCGCAAAACCCACACCCTGCCTGCGTGCCAGCCCTGTGTTTGAACTTCCTAGACTTCTGGATCAAAGAACAAAATAGGAGGCACTTCTTAACAAGCCTGGAAGGATCAGAAACAAACCCCATTATGGAGGGCAACTACCAGGATTCTGCGGGAAAAGTCTGGGTGAGATTTGAGGGTTCTCAACTATCAGATGCTCACGATGGGCACAAAGGGTCTGCCCTGCCTGTACCCTTCCTGGTGGCAGAGCAGTTGTGGGGTGATTGCACTGGTGCAAAACGTGACAGAGCTGTGTACTTGTCGACAATTTTCATTTTTTTCTACAACTTCAAGACACTGCTGCGCATAGGAAGGGGAACTCCTAGTCTTGAAACTGCATCAGTGAAACAGCTGCAAAAGGCTTTTTTATTCTCTCAGGGCATTTGCTGCGGTACCGGTATCTCATGACAGAGGAGTGTAAAGGAGGCAATCTTTACTCTTGCCAAAGGCATGATCTAACCGTGCATATTTCAGGAGCATTATTTATTACACTAGTTGTCAAAGGAGTAAATCAACTGTGACACAGCATAGAGGACAGAATGGAACGGGCATAACACCGCAGCATCTAATAAGGCTTGGCCTTGTGCATCATGCAGGACCTGATGCAGATGCTTGCTCTTTGCATCATGAGATGCAAGAGTGTTGTGGGTGGTCGTTCTGATATGGCAGGGCTGTGTGGCACGGGCACGCTCCCTGGCACCAGACAGCAGCTGTCACAGTGTAACACTGGTGAGGCGGTATCTGTCAGAGCAATTTCAGAACCGTGTGTGAAAGAAGACTGTTACTGTGACAGGGATTCAAGCCAGACATGAAAAGTGCAGACGTCTCTAAAAATGACAGACTTTGATGTGAGATCTGAGAGCTCAGCCTCTGAAGCTCGGGGGAGATTATCACTATGGCACTACCTCTGACATCCAAAAATACATACGCGATGGAACACACACAAACATTCCCTCATACACACAACGGAATACACAGTCACATGCAATGAAAGATACATAATCAGATAAATTACACGCACACACTACAAACCAATTACATATGTGAACTGACGGAACACATGTGCATTCTCATACAGACAATCAAACGCACAAATTTGAGCTACAGGCTTTACACACATGGGCAGACTACCCATTGATGCCTGACTGCTGCCCTCTCCTCAAGCCTTAGCAATCACTTGTCCACCCTGCCTCTCTGCACTCTGCGCTCTCTGCCCCTGGTCTCTCCCACAGTGGGGGCGGTTGACCAGCCTGGCTTCCCACTTGCTCAGGTCTGCTTCACGGTCAGTTCCCACTGATGGCCTGGGCACTTCATTACCAGAGGCTGAGTGAAGGGTAATTGTGCCAGGAGAGTGCATTAAGTTGTCAACATGCGGAAATGCTGATATAAAAAAAGTGAAAACAGAACTCCTTCCCTTTACTTTGGTCAGCTTTAATGGAGTCATTTTATAGATATAGAGTTCAGTACTAAAAACAAAACTTCCACAGGAGAAACAGAAGCACATACAGCAAGGAAATTAAAGCCTGTATAATGCATTCCTGCATCTTTCTCTTAACCCTTTATCTGCTGGATGCTGCTCCAGTTACCTTGATTTGTCTATTTACTGGCTGACCAAACACTTATTGGAATATGAATGCCCAGTCCTGATCCTGGAGGTGTCCCAGCATATCTGGTCTCAATTAGCAGCTTGAGGTAGTTCATTGGTTCTGACAGAACCCGTAATAGGTTCAATTAATTCACAGAGTGCCAGGATGGAGTGAAAAAGCACAAAATCAGGAATGAGCAGCTGGAGCTGTCAAAGGCCACAGGGAACATCCAGTCTCATTCCATTCCAGATGTCAGAAGTGAGTCAGAAGTTAGAAATGAAGAGTGAGCCTTCATTACAACAACTGTTGCCTAGAATAAATACAATTGGTGACAAGGACAGAAGCAATAAGAATGACTATAGTATAGTTGTGTCTCTTTGTTCCTCCACTCTACATAGCGCCACTGTGCTTCTTCCCAGTTTCGGTGCCACAGTGTAAAAGTGATGATAGTTCTGGATTACACAAGCAGATAATGGTGTATTGGGTGTGAGGTGTTGGTGGTTTTGGCTGGAGGAGATCCAGGCAAGCTCTGGCACACCTGTGATATCACCATGCCCCACAGCTGGAGTGCAAACAACAACTGGAGCCCGTTCAAGAGCAACAAAAACAACTGAGCGTTTATCAGCTCACACAACAGCCCTGTCTCGCCCATCACGCTTCCTCTCCCTCTCTCCCACGGCTCTCTGCTCTCTCCTTCCTCTTTCTCTCACTCCCACCTCCTCTCACCTTCTTTGATCGTCTATATAAAACCCAACCTCTCCCTGTTGTCTCTCTCTTCTCTCTCATCCTCACTCTCTCGCTCCTCATCTCCTTTTATTCCTCATCTCTCTCACTCCTCTTTTCAGTCTCTCCTTTCTCACACTGCTCCGAACACACTCAGTCTCTTTCTAACTGCCTAGAGCTAGATGGTAAATCTGGGACTCGTGCGTCTTTGTCATGTGCCACTTGATAATAATTGTAATTTGTCACTGTTAAATTTAAGATGAATGATGTAGAAATCAAATTAAAGATCTCCACAAAATCTGGGCTAAGCTTGGCACTGGCCCTACACATCATCAGGTGTACAAGGTGAATTTTAAGATTGATTTAAGAAGGATATAATATGTGTCCCTACAATCTGTCATTTGCTGCCTCTGTGTCAGTCTGTCTGCCACTGATAGTCTCTGTCTCTGACTATTCATGTGTTTCAGTTTCTGGCTCTGTCTTCCCCTGTTGTCAATCAGTACACCTCTTTGTCTGCTCAATATCAGTCTGTCTGTCTCTCTGTCTGGTAGGGCATTCTGGTAGTCCTGTGTTAGTCTGTCTCTCTGTCTGCCCCTGAGTCAGTCTGTCAGTCTGTGTGCGAGCACACTAATTAACCTATTCCTGGCAGCAGGGCGGGTGATTGGCTGAGCTGTGCTGTGTATGCCCCCTCATTCTCTCACAGCTGTGTTGACAGTCGGATGCGTTGCGTGTGTGTGTTCAGCTGCTCCGTGTGTGTGTGTACATCTGGATGGGAGGTCCAGAGTTTGTGTGTGTTAGTAATGCATATGTGTGTTCTCTCCTCTCCCACTTCATTGTCAAGATTAAGGTTTTTGATCACTGCAAATTTGTTCTTGCAAATATTCTGACCTTGTAAAGCTCTGCAAAAGCATTAAAGATTTAAAAAGTGCTAGCTGTGGCTCCTTTGAAGCTCTCTTTTTGATAATTTCAGTTAGATGAATAATTTTACATGGAGAAGACTGAGTTTAGGAACACAGTACCCACACGTGTATGTGCATGTTTGTATATGCTTGCATGCTTGTATGTGTTTGTGTGTGGTTATATCTCACTGGGAGGTCTAGAGTGTGCCTACATCTACTAAAAGCTTTACATTGTTTTTCTTAAACAGCGGCTTGAAACCCTTAAGTGTTGCTAGCTTGCAAACTTCCAGTACAGAGAGAAAATTAAAATTGTACCATGTTTAAACTCTGTGTGACCCTGCGCCGTTTATTGCTGAAGCCCCTGTTCATTAACACAGCACCAAGGCCATTACTGTTTCACAATGTTCAATTATTTCCTTTCTGTCCTGTATCTGAATGCTAATCTTTCCTCTGGGGCTGAGCGTTTCTCTCGCAGAGCTGGCAAGAGTCTCAGGCTGAGTGTCAAGCGTCTTCTCAGGAGAAAAAGGAACAG